ATCCACAACGTCCACTTCAAACATGACTCTTGATTTGAGGTTACCTTTCATTTGAATATTTCCTATCTCAGGAAAAATAAGATCCTTGTGCAAGATGGTTTTCAGTAAATATTCCGGATAATAGTATTGAAATGTATGCGTCCTCCTTTTGTCATAAATATTTATTGTTCGTAAACCTTGGTGAAAAAGAAGTCGTATGCGAACTCCCTTTCCTTCTGTATCAGCTCTGAAATCTTTTTGGCAATATACATATGGTATTGTAGATAATTTCTCAGTGTCGATGTCGTTCAGCTCGAAGAATACAATGCTTTTATTTTTCACGTCAAACGTTTTTATGCTGGGATCACAAATCGATGTTCTTCCGTATTGAAGTAAAGGGATATTATGTTGTTGAGGAGATTCCATAACAACCCCATTAACAGTGTTTTCAATAGTGCTGTCTTTTATAGTAACGTCAAAGCTGGATTGAATGACGTTAAAACCATTTCCTTGGAGATGCTTCAGTTCACATTTGGTAGCATTGATATTGTTCCCTGCTAAAAAATAACTGACGCCTTGAAAAGCACAGTTTTGAATAGTGACAAAGTTTATTTTGGGGTTTCGTATAACGCTTTCAATCGCAGATGCATTGGAATTGAAGTGCCGGCCACAGTAACTTATGTCAACATGTTCCAGTACAGAGCTCTCCTTAGCAGTACCATTTTCATTTGATTCAACAAACCTTATATTTCCCCATGGCTGGCCTTTACAGTTCAATCCGACAAATTTTGACGTATTAGAAGCATAAGAATGGTCCTTTGCATCGCACTTGCTCAATGATGTCTCGTTGCCATGACAGTGTACGTTGAACGGCCACGGTTTACTTGGTCCAAAATCAAACTTAGTATAATGTGCATCCTGATGCGGCAAGTATCCAAGCTCTCTGCAGATTACTTTTGTATTTGCGAGATTCCACGTACTGTCTGGACAGCACACAGGCATCCACTTGTTTTCGTGGTACACCTCTAAACGACCTTCCCAAGGAAAATGTCCATCTTTCAAACGAACACTTTGACTTCCTTTTGGGTTGTCTAGAGTGAATTTGATTTTTCTTTCCTTTGTTCCACGAGCAATAAGTGTTCCTATAACAAGTAGACTAACACCTGGAGAAAATTGTAACGACACATTTGGTTCTATTGTGAGGACCACACCAGGAAGAATAGTTAAGTCCGAAGTAACTTTATAAGGGCCTGCTTCCTCTGTGAGATAAAGTGATTCATCTAMACGACCCCCAAGTTTGTTTCCCCTTAGAGCTCTTACTTTATTGCCAATCATAACTGTTTTGTTATCATTGTAACTTGTTAGAAAAGGTGAAGTCGAAGCAATCGCGTAGTCGTGGTTATCATCAAAGTCGAAAATTCTTTGCCTTAAATGGTAATTGTCTACAGTTCCCCACCAGTTATGGCTGGCATTGAAAATATCCTTTTGTGAAAGAGCTTGAATGTGGAGACAAAATTCCTTTTCAAAGGAGGGATTTGCCAATTTGTTATGGAAAAATTCAGTTATCTTGTAATAAAGAAGGCCACGTAATTTCAGGGCACAGTTGTTTCTGAAGTATACACGTGAAGGGGCGTCAGCAGCAACTTGGTTTTCTGTAAACGTGTTATTAATGATTGAAAATGATTTGTTACTTTGCTGGAATTCAACGTTATGCAATGACTGTACCGACATTATACCAATGGCTTTGTTGCGATGAAATGTGTTGTTGCTTACATCAATGTTTCCTTCCATTCTTAAGATGGAAGCCATCTCTCTTGAGATACAAGTATTGTTTTCTATGGAATTATCAGCAAAGAGAAGGTTAGCCATGATGGATGCTCCTTCGAATGTTAAAGTCGACCCCGAGTTAGAATGGAAATCGTTTCCTGATGCTTCAAAAGCATTCCTTTGTTTACTAATAGACAACACGGACTTCTCAATGCACAGGTTGTATCTGAATACATTTCTTCTTAGTTGTAACGAACCACTGCAATGATAACTGCTTGTACCCGTCGATAGAACCGCCACGCCGGTATTTCTTTCGAAAATGTTTTCATTCAAAACAAGTTCAGTGTAAGAGTCGATTCTTTGAATTTCTATTATTGATCTCCCAGTACAGTTATTGCTTTTAAAAATGTTGAAAAACATTTTTAATGGCCCAGAATGGTAAAGGTGGTACATCAAGATAACGCCTTGGTTAAATTGAAAAACATTATGCGAAGCTTCCAGACTGTACATCCGTTGGTAGATATATATAACCGCTCCTCTCCTACACTGATTAGCACTGAATACGTTTCTTTTCATAAGAACCATATTATTATTCCAATACCCACAAGTTCTACCGGTTATGACCGATCCGACGTTATTTTCAAAACTGTTCTCGGTTATGCTACACTCTGTGTCGGTTGTACTGCAAAGATATATCGGCATGGTCACTCCCTGGTTTTGTTTAAACGAATTCCACTTAAAAATGAAGGACACATTTTGTCGTGCCTCATGGATTTCGGAAGATATCGCAGACGCTCTGTTAAACGCAAAAGTGCTGTTTTGCACGGCAATAAATGTTCTTGAAAAATAACCGTTAATAATGAATCCACGATAGTTATGAGTAATGCTGCAGTTGAACAAATTGAAAACCATTTTATTGTCATAGGCTGAATAAGAATGTAAATAAAGTCCGGTATTGCTTGTTTTGAAGATACGTGAATCATAAACGCCAAAGCTTCCCGAGGTGTATGTCAGGTGGATGCCGTACCTGTTGGTCTCCAGTGTGATGGATTGCATTGTTCCCGTGGTTATTTCTTTTGCATAAATTTTGAGATAGTCGCTTGAGTTGGACATACTGCAATTTATGATTTTGAGCTGACTGATGACGTTGCCTAAAATGTTTATGCCTCTTATCAAGTTGAAATTCGAGTTTTCGAGCTCAATGAAGCTTTCAAATGGCTTTTCATCTGTAATAAAAAATAAACATAGTTCAATAGTCCCCTACACAGATCCCTGCGCCATCTTGGAAGGTAGTCGTGCCTTCGCATCGAATTGAGACGAACTGTGAGCTTGCAATGATAGAGACGTGAATAATTGTTAAAGACGTCAAAAAAGGTCTCTGTCATTGCAAGGTCTTACCATTCCTCCCGCTTCGATGCAAAGGCAAGGCTACCTTTCAAGATAGCTCAGGGAACTGTTTCAATATACAAATGATAACAATCTAAACTCAACAGTATGACATGACCCTCATATAGCATTGGAAGAATAAACTTTGATCTCCAAGATGAATCATTCAAATCATATAAAAATATTTTACCATTCAGCTATTCACTTCAGTACAATCAATACTGAAAATATAGATTTAGGAATGAGGGGCACTCTAAGATTTTTAGTGGAAGAGTTTGGAAAACTGTAAAAATAATGCAGTCATACCTTCAATAGAAAAAAGGAGCAAGTGGAACGATACTGTGCTGTAATGGTACTTTTCGATTTTCAGAAGGGCTTCGTTATTTGAAGAGTTGAACACTTTTCGATCTTTAATATTAAATGTTTCTATCTTCCATCCATCTCTGCCCGTGATATTGTTTCCATCAAAGACATGGAGGCGGCTGTTGCTTAGCTGCGAATAAAGGACTTGGATTCCAAGTCTACGACCTCGCTCTGTTACAAATAGATGTTGGCATGTTACAGCTGATTCGTAGGGTAAATTTGAGTAGAGGTACACAATGTCGTCTTCTTTCAAGTAAGTGATATTTTGAGAACAAATAGCGATTTTCTTTACACTTGGATTCATGGTTTGAATTGCATGAGTAGTAGAAACGTCCCACTGGCTCTGTAAATGAAAACCTGCTGCCCCAGTCGATTCCACCTCCACGTCCGTGAGCTTTAAGTATGGTGATCCAAGTATAATGCCGGTGGATGCAGTGTGAGAAATCTTAGAATTTGGCATAAAGGACTTCTTCAAGAATGGACTTGGAAATAAGACTTGGACGCCGATGCCCGAAGAAGAATTGATGTTGATGTTACTCAAGTTATGATGATCGAAGTCGATCCTTAAGGCATAACCTGGAAGACTAATGTCACTTCTGTAATTGAATCCAGCATCGTAAATGTTCAGATGATGAAGCTCACTTTTTTTATTGCTAATCGCAAGATGAACGCCTGCCCAGTAGTCCCTGAGGCAGTACATAAGTGGAACTCTATAACAGTTCTTCCCATAGGTCCAGTTTTTATTGCTACACTGAATAATGTCATCTTCGTCGGGGTCGAGGCATTTGATGCCAAAAACGAATTGGTCTGTTGGTTTTGGGGATATGTACCTATAACTAGTATAACGTTCTATAAAACCGAGATGCCGGCAAACGACCTTTACTTCCAGTGGAAGCATGTTGTAGCATACTGGGATCCAAGTGTTGTTAGTGTAGAATTCTAGTACACCTTCCCAAGGTCCTTGTCCACCAGAAAGACGTATATTTTCTTGTATTATGTTCTTTATAAAGTTGACTTTTTCTTGGTTCTTGCCCATGACATGGAGTTCACCTTGTACCAACATACCAGAACGAGCAGGAAACATTAAAGTCGTGTTACTGGGTATCCGAAGACTGCCATTCTCCAAGATAACAATGTCATCCCGCACCTTATATGGCATTTGGCTACGAGGCAAAGATAGCTCTCCATCCAAGGCACCGCCTATAGTGTTGTCTTGAAGAAAACACCTCATGTGCGGTAGACGTTCAATTTCCAGGTCAATGATTCTTGAGGAACGGAAGTAAGGAAAGTATCTGACTTTAGCAAGTTGAATACGATCGTAAAAATCAAATATTTTGTCTTTTATCTCACATTCATCTTTCGTGCCCCACCAATTAAATCTGGCATCAACAACACTGCTATGATTGACGTACAATGTAGACAACAAATAACGACAGTCATTTGCGTCCAATGAATTGTTGTGGAATATAAAAGTTCCCTCCTTAAAAACAACCAAAGCTCTGTCGGTAGAACTTTGGTACAAGTTTGGAAACAAAAACTTCACGCTGTTGTTTTGAAAGGTATTATTATCGACGCTGGCCTTTCGAATCAAAGGRAACCCCATKAAATCTATGTAMACAAGATTTGAACCACGATTGCCAAAAAACTGGTTCTGACTTATGCTGACTTCGACAGGATTGCTGACACTTTTCGGCTTGCATTCATAAGAGGTTTGATCGGTAATAACAATTATTTGGCYAGAATTGTTATAAAAAGAGTTGTTCCGTATTTCGGCTTTAAGTCTATAAAGTGAAATACATGAAGCGTAGAGTGCTTGGTTCTTGTTCTCTCGAAACTCATTGTGTGACATCATGAGTGATACCTGCTTGTAACGTGAACCACGGCTGCAGCTTTCTTGTTTAAAGCGCAAGCCTCCGCGTGAATTGTTACTGATGCTACTCTGTTCTATTACGATGGACACATTTTCCGTTGAGCCCTCGATATGCTGACAAGCAGGAGAAAGATATACTCCGTGGTACAAATTATCGAAAACCTTAGTTCCTTGTATATTTATTCCGGTCAATTGAGGAATAGGGTTGCTGCTCGAGGACTGGAGTTCGTGTATGCAGATGCCATGTTGTCTGTTTTTCTCAATGAAGGAATCGATAATTCTGTGTTCGCCACCTTCGTTCCTTAGCTTAAGCCCATGATTCGAATTCTGTAGTATATACGAAGAGTAAATTCTTACAGAAGCCATACCGTCGCATATCTCGACTCCACTTAGCTGATTATCTGCTATGCTACAAAACGCAAGGTCTAAAGCCCCTGAAACTTTGTTTGATAGCAGCCCTTGATGATTATTCAGCACAAGACGGGCATGACTAATGCTGCAGTTCATCCAAGATATTTGCAATAGCATTCCTTTCTCTTGATTATTAAAAGCTCTGATATCGGATAAATGGCAAATAGAAATACTCGAATGGTAGAAAGCAACGCCATTTCCGACATTTTTGCTGAAACGTAGTTTGTAACCTGAGACCTTTCCAGTTTGGTTTTTGGCCATCATTCCGTCTTTGGTGTTAAGAGAAAAATCTGTGTTCTCTATGTATATTTGATTGGGGATATCCTTCAAAGCCATGCCAAAACCATTATTACCAATGAATTTTGAGTTAGTAATAGTCAATGAACTTTTATCTGCATTAAAAAAATCAAAATCAACATTCAGAACATAGTTGCTTATCATTTAAACTAATCCATCCGTTTGGGAATTCATTCGCTAATGGTAAAGAAAAGAGCGGGAAACTTTGAATTACAAAATATGGTACACGCGTCTACCGAAAGAACTGAAAAGAGCGGGAAAAGTGGATAACCCGGTAGTAAGAAAAAACAGAAGCACAGAACCGCAATACAAGCATGTTTATTAATTTATCATTAATTATTACCTGAACTTTCAGTAATAAGGAGCTCTGCTGCAGCTTCACGCTGATATGTGTGACGATACCTTATCCAAAGCACGTTTCCTGTCGTGAAAGAAGGCTTTACAGCTCGTCCACTATCACTTTGTGTCACCCGTGTTAGAAGTGTGGAATTAATATTGTCACCGTCACGTACCTCAATATAGTATCCTTGGCCCTTTAAGAATTGAAAGTGAAGGGCAAGAGTATGGCCGGTAGACGTTTTGAAGACCTTTAAATAAAAAAAATACGACCTTAGTTTGTTTCGTTTTTATTCTTTTTTAGGATGGTTGGAAAACAACCAATAACTATTATAGTTTTCTCATAAATAATTCGGCGGCTGCAGTAGTAACAAAAAAATGTTTGTGGATCGCGACATTTTTTTAAAATGCATCGTTGGTGAGCATGATAGCAAGGTAATTTTAGGCAAAAGAATTTGTTTGTTTACAAAAGGTATTTTAAGAAATAAATACACCATGTATGACGTTCATACATTTAGGCAACCATAATGATAAAATTTTGGTAAAAATTACTGTAGTCAGTTCACTACTCAATAACGTTATAATCGAATCTACAGCATGCACCCCTAAATCTACTGATCCTTTTGAACAGTTCATTCCTGAGAGCCTAGGTATCGTACTAGGATTTTAATATTTTGATATTTCAATATTTATTTGTCCGAAATAACTTCTCTGTCATGAGCCTGTACGTGATACTTTTGACAACGGTCATAACATCTCGGGATCAAACAGTTTATGATACTCTATTTTTCATCACTATTACCTTGATGGCATCTTCAGTTTCCCACGATTTTGATGATACGGTAAGGTAAAGAGGAAAAGACGCATTACTTGGATGAACATCTGATAAATCTACCGATGATTTTCTTATTCTCGAGTACTCGATCCCATCTCCATTTGTGGTGTTGAACACGACGCTGTTGTTAATGTTTAATGACGCGTTGTTAGAAGATATAACGATTCCGTTTACCATACTGTCGCTAATAACTGTGTCGTGGATAAAGAACTCGCCGTCTTTCAGCTCCGTTGACTTGATTCCTCTGATGGATGATGTTAGAGTAACATTGTAAAGAGGCGGTAAGACTTTATGTCCATGAATACCAATAAAAGCCTTGTGAATGTCAACGTATCTCATCTGGACTTGGCTTGCTGTGTCTTTGTACTCAATGCCACTCCAGTATACTCTTTCGGCTAGTAGTGGGAGAAGCGTGTAACACTCGATACCAATATCACTGTAGTGGCCTGAGAAAAAAGGACAAATAATATGAAAAATCACCATCGAAATCTCGGATACCCATTCATGTCGCATGCATGACCTTAACAATTTGTCAGTCAGTTGAGCGCCAATACATTACGGACCTCAAATACTGCACTCGCTCGAATCAAAGAAAAACTAATTAGGGAAATATTTTTTTTCAAAATTTTACCTGCATATTGCAATAAGCTACTTACGACAATTAATCTGGGACCCTGGCCGATGAGGACAATCAAGCAAACTCCCCTCGGTTCCTTTGCAGTTGACGCTGAAGATATTGGTTTTTGTAACACCATGACGAAGAGAATAATATCTTTTCGCACCCACAAACCCTAACATTCTGCAGGCAACTTCTGTATTTGAGGTGGTCCAACGATTATAACAAACGCTGCCCCATTGGTTATCGACGAGCAGCTCTAGCCGTCCACTACGGTAATCAGCACCTCCAATTAGCCTGCCACCTTTGTTGTAAGGAATAGTGTCGTTTATTTTGTCTAAATCAACAGTCTCGTTAGACTGAAGATTTGTTAAAGTGATACGACTGGTTGACGTTCCTTGGGCCTTAAGGGTGCCGTGAACTTTTAGTCCCACTCCTGGAAAGAAGCAGATTTCCACGCCAGGCTCGACTTTCAAAGTTGCGCCTTTTGTGACGACAATGTTTGAAGTTACCATGTAAGGTGAATCAGCCTTAGTCAGGTTCCTAAGTCCTGTTACGTTTCCATTTAGTTCAAATGAAGAGCCACTCTTCGCAGTTGCTAAAAGTAGTATTAGAATGACTGGAGTCATTTTGAAGTTTTCAGAAAACTGTTTTACGGTCGCATTTGTTTCTGAAAGGAAAAACAAGTAAACGTTATTTGTAAAAACAATTTCAGTTTTAAAGATAATACTTATTCATTCGACTCACAATTGTGGCCAGTTTGGTGGACCGCGACGTTTCGACTGCCTTTGCTAATCTTCATCAGGCGATGGTGTAGACTGTAAGGTTGTGTACTTACATACCGTCACTGGCTCACTTTTCATTTCTTAATAATTTTTTCTCACTCTTCTTTCTGCGCATGCGCCTCTAATAAGAACGGAGTATCTATGTTCTCACGCTATAATCGATATAATCCAGTCATCGTTTTCCAGTGTCTCAGCTTTTAAAAGACAAATCACTGCTAAAATACAAAACTATTGTCTCAAATTCTGAGAATCTAAGACGGTGCACTTCTTGAAATTGTCTTAGCCCCAATTACCGACAAATTTATTTACTTACTGAATATAATATTTATAAAGGTATCTTTAAAGTCTCGGAGTCATTATTGACTTCATACGTTTTCGACGTAGTTGGTCTATTTATCTTGGCTTATGCATTTGCAAGGAAAAAATAGTATTAAATATATAGTGTAATTAGTGACAAGAGAACGCCAGACTGTTGTTTAGACCTATTGACCTTCTTTCCGCACGATGGTTAGTATTACTAAGTGGAAATGTGTCTGTTTTTTACTTGAAGTCTGTAGGTTATTATGCTTAGATCGTGGAATTACAGGTATATTTGTTTCTTGATGCAGGGTCATAGAATTTTTTAAAATTTCTTGAGAATTATCCGTTTTCTTTACTTTGCCGTATTATCGACCAGTTCAGCCAACGGTCATGCTGGCAATTTAATCCAACATAATTGAAGACATAAATAGAGCCACCTTACGCAAATTAATTAGTTCGTTGATATAGGACTGCAAGGCTACAAGCGGTAACAAACAGAAAAACTCAAATAAATACACCCATAATTTATAGATATATACTCCTTTCGGACATAGTTGATAGAGGGGAATGGTTAGGAAACTCTATTGCTATAGGTTATTGTTCACTTTTTTCAAGCGTGACCGTACACAATCCTTTGTTTTAACATTGTTTTACCTTTGTTGGCTATGGTTGAGTTAACAGACCAAAATCCTTTTTTTTGGCAGCTAATTCAAAATACTTAAAGATTTTAAAGAGATATTTGAATATTCCTTACAATAATCCCATAGACAAAGTGTAGGTTTACTTATTTTGCGATTTCGGATGAGCATAAATCAAACATATTGCACGTACAAGACTGGTTCAACCTCACAAGCGAACAAAGACCTATAACAATAGGTTTTACTAACCATTCCCCTCTATTAACTATGTTTCGGGCTAGAACATCTTTCGGATCATGTTTGTGCATTACTTGGGCTTATTAAAGGTTATAAGAGATGTAACTCGATGTGGTTATCCTGCTTGCAAGTGAGGATCCAGCCAAACTTAACGATGTTATTTTGCTATTGTTTTTCTTAATTTGTGGTGGTACTTCACCAACTCGCTTTATGGATAACAACTA